GTGGTTGAGTTTCCTATGTATGTTAACAGAAGATTAATCATCACAATTCATAATTTTCTATTACTTGTGCTTTCTCTTACTTACTTTCCAACTGTTAAAAAAGCTCCTGATATCTTTTATCTTTTTTTGTGGAGGTGGCATTTTTTCTAAATTATATAAGAAGGTATAGACAATCAAAAACAGACATTCATATACATGAACTGCAGAATCATTTATATAACTTGGCCAATGCCAAAAGTTACATAGTATTTCTCAATACAATGAGTTAACAAGAGTTTGGCAATAAGTGACAGTGTGGATTTTTCTATATTTTCTTTCTTTTATTCCACTCTCAACCCAAAAAGGCAAGTAATGACTCACAGGGCTCTCAAGTATGCAAAATAAAAACTTAAATGACCTGTTGTGGTGTGTTTTGCGCACAACCAGCATGCATCGTTAACGCAATGGAAAATTTAGGTATCCGAGCTTTAATTTCGGGAGCGCTGGTTGCGCTTTGGGAAGAGTCAGGGGAGAGACATGTCAGAGACACAGGGGAGAAACGGGGGAGATACGAGGGAGACCCGCACTTGCAACATGGTTCTGTCTGCATATGGTCCGAGCTCGGTACCATGTTAGAGCTGTGCTTTCACTGAGCGCCGCGGCTGTCATTACAAAGCGGCAGCAGCTGCACCAGGACGTGCACATTCGAGTGCATCGCATGAATGTGCTTAGAGCAAATAACAGCAAGTGCCCGCTGTCACACATTTCACAGAAATTACATTATCAGCAGATAAGGGTTGTAAATCGTGGATCCGTGGAATATTTTCATCCCTAGTTTATCCTGATTCACACAACACACCCACTTATACATTTTGGATAGTAAGAGCACAATAAGTATTTTCTCAGCCTTTCACCTGTTTCTTTATTGGAGCCAGTTCTGTTCTGTCTCTGTGCCGTGTGAGCTCCTCGGAACATTAAACAGTGTGCTGACAGATTAGAAATAACGTAAGTAGTACTTTGAATGGTAATAGATCTACAGTACTTTCCTCTGATTACTCACGTGCTACAACGCTCAGGGAACGAAAAAAAACACTTGCTTCACGCTGGCTAACTTTTAAAAATTAAACAGTCGCTCAGTGCTTCAGTTTGGCGCTGAAGAAGACAGCCAATCACTGCAGAGAACGGAACGGGTCACGTGCTGCTGCTGCTGCTGTTGCTCTGGAGGCGAGGAGGAGGCGCGACGTGTGCACAAACGGAAGACATGTGTCCCGGACCGTCCGGGTCACGGGACATCATGTCATTTTGGTGGGGACTTTTTAGTCCTCACCAAATATTGGTGGGGACATGTCCCCATGGTCCCCACGCAAACCTACGTCCTTGATCAGCAGCAACTCTTGCTGGCCTGACCACCACTTCGTCAACCGGAAGTTTATGCGTCACGTGATTGCAAGCAAGCAATTCAACAAAACAAAAGAGACAAGGCATTCCATTAATGAATAATCACAGAACATTACAAAGAGTGAAGATACAGAAAGCACAACTAATCAGAACTGTTGTCAACCTGGATTTGAACCTGGATGTTTTTGTCAGAGAAGAAGCCGGTCTTTGTCTATTGTTCCAGATTTTAGCAGCATAAATCCGAAACTGCTGCACATTGTAATCTTCACATTATACATTCGCGACATTTTTCACCTGTCCACACAGCAACAGAGAATTACACTTTCTCTGAGCAAGACGTGACTGCAATCTGATGTATTTGAAGAATACGAAGGCTACATAATCATCATGTAACATCAGATTCAAGTATTATATAGAACGATGGTATTTTTATTGATTACATACAGTATGGGAGAATTTAAACGATATAAAGATGATGTGAATTCCTATTGCTATAAAAGCAGCCACCAAATTACAAAAGTTTCACTGAAATACCATAACTATAGCCTGGTCTTACCATACCAGTGTACTAATTTCACTTTGTGCTAAGGTCTGGTCTCTCCGCTGAGTTTACCTTGACGAATGCGCCCGAGTGAGTCGCTAGCATTTAGCCTAGCTTTAGCTTTAGCCATCTCATCAGTGGGGAGTAGAGCCACAATACTTTGCCAGCGATTAAATCTGCTAAACATTCCTCTTGCTCCGGCTTCAATACCTTGATATTTGGAGCCAAACTACAATTATCATTTCTCTACGTACATGCAGAGAAATGATAATTGTAGTTTTCGTCTAGCTAAGGCCAGGCTACTGTCACAGTTACTGTCAGCTCTGTTCATGCTGTAAATGTTCAACCACTCTACAATATTGCAGGAAACATTATTTGCTACATTAAAATGCGTACGCGGATAGAAGTTATGCTTTCATCCTCAGAAAAATTGTTAGTTAAATATGTATTAGCTCTGTTTGTGAAGACAGAAGCTTTGATCCAAACGCAGAGATAAAGGCACTTGTCTTGCACAAACTGGATTTGCATCTTACTTTTTATCCTTCTTGCACATTGGTTATTTACTCCCACCTTTGAATATATATATATTTTTTTTAGGCAATAAAATGTAAACAGGCGTGTAGCGCATATTGTCTATTCAGATACGATATGAAAAGGGCTAAAGATTCACACACACACAATTAATTAATTAATTAATTAATGTCTTAGAAGACACAGAAGAGATGCTTTTCCTTGGCTGAGAAGATTTGAGATTTCTGTTCATCAAAGTTGATTAAAGCCAGGGTCAAACCACAAAAATGTAATACAATCTCCGAGTTTGGTTCTATCACTCGTTTTCATGCATTTTTAGCCATCTTCAGACAGAGAGTGAATCAGAGAGGACCACCCATTAAGGATCTTTCTAAGCATAAAAAAAAAACACATTTTCTGAGTGAATATAACGTTTTGTGGTCTGATTTGAGCACAATATTTTACTTTTATGAGACTCTTACTGTGAACACAAACAAATAAAAAAGCTGGGTTACCGTGGTTGGAACATGTATTCATAGATAAAACACATTTATAAAAGTGTAGTACAACGCTCGGTCCAGCTGGTGGCGGTAATACTAACTTCAGCGAAGACCTCGTTGTCCGAGTTAAGTTTCAGCGTTTACACTTCAAAGCCGCCCTTATGTATCACCTGGTGTTCCCAGAGGTCTCCCATCACAGGCCCTGCCCTGCTCAGCTTCAGAGGTCTCACAGGATCTGACTTTCAAATCTGGCGCCACAAGAGTTTTAGACTATAGTTATCTGTTGCATACTGTGAACCCTGAGTCTCTAATTAACCTTCAGTTTGGGCAAACAAACGTAATATTAAGGAGATGTAGGTGCTCCAGCTTTTACTGATGACTTTTTCTTTAGACTCTTTTATTTTCCCCTCATACTTTGAGAGCACAAGTTAAGCACTGACTCCTGCAGGCCTTTTAACCTGGCGCTGCTGTCTTCTAAAGCTGCTTGTGGTTTGTTTGGGTTTCCTCTGGCCCCTGGAGTGGCCCGGGACGCCTCCTTCACTCACACAACACAGGGAAGAGCAGAAACAACAGCAGAGCAGAGGGGAAGACTGACTGTTAGTCGAGAGCCACGGTTCAGGCGGAAGGAGACAACAAGCACTGGGAATTGGGCTTTTCCCCAGCACGAGGAGGCATCGGAGCCAGCTGAAGTGTGTGTGTGGTGTGTGTGTGTGAGGGCAGGTATTGAACATCTGTGGGGACTGAGCGCTGTGCTTATAAATGTCTATGTTTCAGGGGTACAAGCCTACAATTTATTCATAATAACAGTTGTAATTGAAAGTTCAGCACCCAGCCATAGATGTGATAGTTTTGGTCAGATTTTGGAGATTTTAGGGACAATAACAAAACCTACTTTCCCTTTCACTTACTTGTCTTAAGCAATACAGTCAAATTAAGGTGTTTTCTATTTTCAAATTATAACATAATTGAGCCACTATGAGGTGACTTCAAATGTGTACTTCAGGGCAAGGCAGCCCACGAATGCAGGAACTGAAGACTCCATGCTGAGATATTAAAGGGGAAATACTGGGTGTGGAGACTTCTAATCAGGGTCAGAAGAGTAGTATATTTGGTCTATTTTTGTATATTTTGAGTCCTATATTTGAAAGTAGTTTCAAATATAGACTGATTACTGATTACCGAATAATTGATTAATTAATCAGTAAATTAATTAATAAACGGCTTCACACAACCACTGAAATGATATATTAATTATCATTTAATTTAATTAACACTTTTCTAGAAACTTTGAAGCACAACTGTATGTGGACTATTTCCTGCATATTTGCCCTCACCCTCTCTCTTTTGATGAAAGTTCTTCTGACAGTGATTCCCTTCAAGTCATCGACCGAGTGCAGACCACACACCAGATAACTCACTGTCCTGTGCAACAGCGCTGATAAACTCTCAGCGGCTCAAAGTTCTGGACGGCCAAGGTGCCATCTTTTTGTACTGGCCAACCCACTTTAGCTCTTGTCCTCTCCAATCAATGTTTTTCATTGCGTAAATCACAATTTAAATGTTATTATAATAAACAAATGAACCCTAAATGTTCTGTTTTAATTTGTTTAGTTCATTGGAAATCCCTGAACACCATGACACCCGGATACTACTTTGAAAGAAGTTTACTGGTAGGACAAAATTGTCCAATGAGTTGAATGGTTTTGTCCAAACAGCACAAAGCTGAGGTTCTGCCGCTCGCTGCCACAAGAACCAACAACATTTTAACATGAAGCATCATGGAGTCCTCTCTCCGTGCCCACCCTCAAGGTTTACTCTCAGACTCCTGACTCACAGTCCTTTCTCAGAGTCTTCTCTCAGAGTCCTCTCTCAGAGTCTTCTCTCAGAGTCCTCTCTCAGAGTCCTCTCTCGGAGCTTGCTCTTTGTGGGTCTTTTGGCCATGACCTGCCAGACCATCTTCACCTTTTGTTTCCAAAATGCAGGTGCCTCAGGGCCAGCAGTCACTGGGTGCATCATGTATAAAACTACTCCCCAGCGAACCAATTCCATTTCAATGGAATTAAACCTGTGGCTCACGAGCCCTTGCAGCTTGATGCTGTTGGGTGGCCCTTTTTGACCTGCAGGAGACATATTAATATCCAACACTTCGAACTCATGGCAAAAGTGAGCATTGAAGTCGAAGCTGCAGAACCATTGCACAATGTGGTGGGACGCAGATCTAGACTTACTCAGGTATCTCATGAGATTAGCCTGTAGGGGGCGCACGTGTAAAACCATTACCAATAGTTAGCATTATTCATTCTCCCACAGGAGTCATTGCCAGTATGTCTTAATCATGCTTCGCCATTTTGACAGAATCTGACTTTTTCTCAAACCAATCAAAACGTTCAAAATCAGTGTATGAAAAGTAAGAGGCGTAAAGATATCTACTCTTTCATCTTTCCAATGGTGTAAGTATTTCCCCAAGAGTAGACTGTGTTTCAAAGGGCAGCAGGTTTTAGGGACGATATCTCTCCAAAAACAAACTCATTCAAATGAGGAGGACGCTGGAGAAAAACCACCAACACACATGCTTCAAACTATCTTTGTAGACATAAAGAGTAATAGAGTAATCCTTTTGTGATATTGCCCACTTGTTTGGGACACTTCCACTCGGCATTGTTAGCATTGTTAGCATGCTTCTTTAATATGCAAAAGTGAGAGATTCTATGTTTTCTTCTTTATTGTGCTAAAGTTAGAGATTTTTGTTTTATTATAGTACTGTAGAGTATGCAATTGTAGTCACGGACACGGGGCTTAGCAAGTGAGAAAGACCTACTGGCGTCCAATCAACAAGTGTTTCACCGTCTTACCTCATGGTCAGGACCCTTAACCACCTTCAGCGCCACCTTCTGGTTGGTGTTGTTTTTGATACAGAGGGCGACCGTGCCGAAGCATCCTGAGCCCAGGATCTTCTGCAGCTGATAGGAGGCTAAAGGTGAGGAGATGCTGCCCCCAGCCTTCACCAGGTCCCGAAGCCACTTCATGAGACATGCAGACGAAGCCGACGATGCAGAGAAAAAGATCTGTGGAAAATGACAAGGTTCAAACACATGATGGAAATGTGTGCTTAAACCTAATCCACCTATTATATAAAGTGTCTGTCTATGTGTGTGTGTGTGTGTGTGTGTGGACTTCAGGAAGTGTGACTAGAACACGATACAGACCAAATCTACAGGTGGAATATGACCAGTGGACCCACTCAAACTGGCCTCGAGGTGGCTCTAAATATATACAACATACAATTCTAACCTTAACCAAATAGACTGTTTCAACCCTAAACTTAGCCCTAACCGTCACCTGACTGTGACTCCAGAAGCAACAGAATTTTTTTTTTTAAATATTGCTCTGCTCTGGACCAAATACCAAGACTTTAGTGAGTATTACGCCTAATGCAGTAGTTCCCAAAGTGGGCAAAGTGGGCAGAAATGTAATAATAAAAGATGTAGTCTGTTATAAATTAATAAACACCATATTTTATGAACAATTAGGTCAGAAAGTACAAGACATGGCTCAAAGAAGAAACATTGCTGTTGATGTAACATGTTTAGCTATAAATGTAGTGTTGTCATGGGAAGGTTAATGTTAAAGCTCTGTCTCATACGCTGTTGTTTAAGTGCACTTAACAAAGGCTGAATTAAAGCTGGGGTTTCCCAACTTTAAAATCACAGTTTTTAAAGTCTAAAAGCCCCAATCCTCTGTGAGTCTCACCTTATGCAAAGCCGCAGACGTTCGGAATAAGTTCTGGACGAGCTGAGATTCACAAAACCACAAGAGGAACAGATCAGAGCAGAGAAAACCGAAATACGTGTTCCCGCTTCAACCAACAAGATAGGAATGAGTATATCTGTGTTTCTGACCTCTGTGGCCAAAGCCAGGTCACCATGGAGATCAGAAGATGTCGCTGTTCCATGGAACCACATCATCATCTCATATCATTACATCGTCACATTACATCATCCATGTGTTTTTATGCTTTTTGTTATTGTTTGAATGCATATATGTTTTAATGGGTTTTATTGTAAAGCACTTTGGTCGCCTTAAGGGTTGTAGAGGGCTCTCCACAAAATTATTGATAGATTTTAATGGGTGCAGCTCTGACTGCCACCCCCCTGACCCAGAAATGGATTAAGGGGAAGAAAATGGATGGATGGATGGATGGACTGGATGCATTACTCTCTGAGTTTTCATTGTGACACTTTACTTTCTCTGTGTGAGCCAGCCAACGCAGAAGATACTATAACAATACAAAACAAGAAGTAAGATGGAATAAAATGTCTATGTAAATGTGGTTTTCCCTCATGCTTTCTCCAAATTTTTATTGAACCCGGGAGCCCCACTGAGATTCTCACTCTCTGTTTCAGGGGCCCCAGAAGGGAGATAACTGATCATAGTTTTAGTGGGTGGTGAAACCTTAGCACCCAAAGGAAGCCACCGCAGGCACAGGGAGAACAAGCAAACTGCCGTGGAGTGACTCTTTATCACTGAGTATGTGGAGCCTGCGGGCCGCCATCTGAGATCTTTAGAAGGATTGTTACAAATGTGTTACGCAAAATCCTCCAAATATGATGTTATGGACAGAGCTCTTTTCTGCCTTTTAAAAGAAAAAGGAAAGGCACATTGATTCATAAAGCACCATTCATGCAGAGGCAACCCATGGTGTTTAACAAGCACAGAAAGAACATTGGGAAACAACAAAACATTTTGAGGAATGAAAACATACATAGAATGCAATAAATACTGTATAAATATTTATATGTGTATGTATTCCACAGACAAGGGGCATAAAAACTAAACGCTGCGGAGGACATTTGTGGACATGTATTAACATGTATGGACATTGGTCATCCATCCCCTATAGACCAATGGCTCCTATGTTTGTTATTGCTTAGTTTCCTGTGTTCAAACTGTTTTTTTCTCTGATCTGTTGTTGAGGAATCGTCTTAAAGTCTTTCAAGGCGACTGCTGTTGTGATTTGGGCTATACAAAAATAAATAGAATTGAATTGAAGTAAACCTGCTATCACTTCACCTCTGATTAGAGACCACGAAGGAAGATTAGCTCGAAGCTATGTCCAGTCTGTATGAAAAATGTATATCCCTGTCAAATAAATAAATAAATAAAACACAGAAAATCCCCTTGTCTTGTTAAAATGAACTCCACTCCGAGTCCCCGCGAGACTCCGCACCGCGCCCCATCTTCTTTGTGATACTGAGAGCGTGGGCTAGGTCAGTGCTCTGTGTCATTATCTCCGGATTAAAGCCAATGGACCAGTTCCAAAAGGGCCTCACCACTGATTCACAGCAGTCGGACGGGCAAGGACACGCCTCCCCGGAGACACGGACGCTGTGATTCATGCCATTACCCAGGGGCTCCGATCCACGCACGCACTTGTACGTATATATAGACTCTAGACGCCCACTTCCCATTCGGCATGGCGGGAAGAATTACACCGCTCCGTGATTGAAAAGACTATGTCCCCGCAAATGCACATAAACACAAACGCACACACGAGGCCGACGAGCTAATTAATCATGCCTCTTGTATTAATTAGGATTCAAATCAGTTGCTATGGGAACCTGGCCCTCCGTCGGAATCTTAAGGTAAAGTTGCATTTCTTTCTCCCCGAAGCTGCTTCAATGACAAATGCAGGGGACAGATTCTGAATACTCACTCGGAGTCAGTGCCTCGTGGGGACATTTTTCTCTTCTGCCGTGTTGAAGTTAACCCCCCCCATCCTTGCAGCAAAACAATTCTGCAAAACACTGAAGACGCAGTTTACACCCTAGAAAACATACAATATAGGAGGTGGTTGTTGCCAGGTTTGACAGTTGGTGAAAGACTCTGAATGTTTTTGACTCTAATTTGACTCTAGGTATTAGTAGTAGTAGTGGTAGTAGTAGTAATAGTAGTGAGTCAAGGGCAGTCCCTCAATGACTGCCCTTGACTCACTACTATTACTACTACTACTGCTACTTATACTACTTTTACTACAACTGCTCCACTTTTATTCTCTGGCTTTTAACACCGCGTGAGTCGTGTGGTCCTCTGTGTTTTTATTTTTTTTATTTTTTTTAATATAAATGTGTGTATTTATTTGTTGCCATTATGCATGTTGTATGAAATGTGCTATATAAATAAAGTGGATTGGATTGGATTGGATTGCTCCTGCTGCCACTACTACTGATAATAATGACAATAATAACACTATACTACTAATAATATTAATCCTGCTGCTACTACTACTACTACTACTGATAATAACAATAATAATAATAATAATAATGATACTAATAATAGAAAAAAAGAATATGAAGTGTCATTTTTGCCAAAGTCACCACTGCACACAAAATGGAAATCCTCTCTCTCCAAACTCAAGGCGGTAGAGAGAAATATTGGGATCGGGGTTTGTTGGCGGAGGTTATGCAAATGACAGGAGCCAATAGGAAATTAGTTTTGGAATAATGTGATTTCTGCACTGTATGGTGTTTGTCTATCACTTTGTGAGATGATAGTCAACAGACCCGGCTGGGATTTTATTATTCTCATTTTGTGTCAGGCGGTGGGTCGAGAGTATTAGATGCAATAAAATAGCCTGACACTTCATAGCTCGAGTCCAACCCACAATCAAAATTAATAGGACCCAATATTATTTTATACTCTTTTGATGATTGTTTCTGCAAGTCAACCGCAACATCAGAGCAGCACTAAACTATTTTAACACAGCCTTACAAACACAGATTGCAAAGCCCTATTTTCTGCCTCTAAAATCTATAAAAATGCTAAATGGTTTTCTCTTTTTTCTTGATGACCAGCTTATTCTTTCCCAGTGCGCCTCAGGGTGTCATAGGCGAACATGTTCTTTTCGTGCTTATTTCAGAATGGTGTTTATGACTAATCACCAATCGGCAAAACCCTTAAAAATTCCAAAATTAAAGGTGAAAAAAGTCACTCTTTTTTCCTTTTTGATCATAAACTAAACCCAACATTTCCAATGCTAAATACTCTAACTCCAGCCCACAATGGGTCATGGCTTCAAATACAAACCAACCCTTTTACCAGTCATGCAGATATCATTTGGAATTTAAAAAAACAAAGCAACTTTCCTTTTATCTCCTGAAGTAGCTTATGGACAATATGTTAGCCATCTACTATGTTTTCGTGTGTGGTGTGTGGTGATGTGGTGTGTTTGGTGTGGTTGGTGTGTGGTGTGTGTGTGTGTGTGTGTGTGTGTGTGTGTGTGTGTGTGTGTGTGTGTGTGTGTGTGTGTGTGTGTGTGTGTGTGTGTGTGGTAACAGGGGGCGAGGGGCACGATGTCTGGGCCCTTACCTCCATCACCCCCAAAACCCCCCCCCCCCCCCCCCCCCCCCCCCCCCCACCCCCCCCCCCCCCCCCCCCCCCCACTCCGTGGCTACAGCAGTATTGAGAAATTTCAAACGCAAAGCTTTTGTCAGGACACTATTTTCACAGTATTTCAGACCAGTTCAAGAAGGAGTTAGCCACATGGCATAAGGGCCTTTCCTAGAGGCGGGTTTTTCAATGTACCGTGAAGGACGGACAATATCTGAGGTTGATGAATCCACTGAGCTACTGGGGCGATACCTCAGTTGTAGAGCACTGGGTTCGATCACATACCCGACCATGTCATCTGATCCCACTGTGTATGCTGTCGTTGTGTCCACTGTGCAGACACTAAACCCCACATTGCCTGAAGCCCCCGCTGAAAGATCAAGGCCAATGTCTTCAATGACGAAAGGCATTTTTCCCGTGGAACACCACCTGCAGGAGGATAGGCGAGGGACTGTTCTACTCAGACTTGGGTGGCAGCTCTGATTTCTCTGGTAATTATGATAATATAGTGATTACTTATAGTGATTTTTTGGACACTCAAAAAGGCTTCAGATGGCAGTTATTCACTCACTTACATGGTGTTGAACAATTACTGTAGTAGAAAAACACAATCCTAACCAAATACAGTGCCTTGCGAAAGATTTGGCCCTTCGAACCTTTCACATTTTGACACTTTCAGTCTTCAAACATAGAGATATATTATTAAATTTTTTGTTATGAATCAACAACAAGGGGGACACACAATCGTGAAGTGGAATGAATTTTGTTGGATATTGATTTAAAACTTTTTTAACCAAATTAAAAAACTGAAAGAGGGGCGTGCAATATTATTCGGCCCTTTACTTTCAGTGGCAGCAAACTCACTCCAGAAAGTTCAGTTGAGGATCTTGGAATGATCCAATGTTGTCCTAAAGAGATACTGTTGTGGAGAGTTTAAAGCCGGATTTGGATACAAACAGATTTCCCAAGCTTTAAAACATCTCAAGGAGCACTGTGCAAGCAAATTATATTGAAATGGAAGGAGTATCAGACCACTGAAAATCTACAAGACCCGAGCAGTCCCTCCAACGTTCATCTCAAACAAGGAGATGACTGATCAGAGATGGCTGCCAGAGGCCCATGATCACTCTGGATGAAACTGCAGTATAAACTTACAGCTGAGGTGGGAGAGTCTGTCCATAGGACAACAATCAGTCGTGCACTGCAAAATCTGGCCTTTATGGAAGATTGGCAAGAAGAAAGCCATTCTCAAAGAATCCCATAAAAAGTCTTGTTTAAAGTTTGCAAAAAAGCCACCTGGAGGGACATTGATTCAAGATGGCGCCTCGTACGGTCGACATGGCTCTTTGCTGCTCTCTTTTTCTTTTGTTTTTACTTTTTAACTGTGCATCTGGCTGTTCCTACACCCGTGAGGAACTTATGAACATCCGACCCACCGTTCCCATGGACCTATTGCCTAGTTTTCTTGGCATCTGCGGCTGATTTAGTTCATGTTCTAGCCAAAAAAGTGTGGGCCCGTAAAAGGGGAAAGCGAGGAGGCCTGCTCGTGCGTCTTAGGAGGAGAGGAGCGCGCACGGCT